CACGTAATTCAGTTCCTGTCACTCCTCTGCACAAAACCTTCTAGTGGCTCCCATCTCACTCCAAATAAAATCCAAAGTCTTTCCCATAGCCTACAGAGCCGTATGTGACCTGCTTCCCTCCCCTATCCACGACCTCTCTGATCTCTCCCCCAGGTATCCTCCTTGTTCACTCTGCTCCACCACCCAGTAGCCATCTGCCCTCCTTGGCGTTCCTCCAATAGGCTAAGCACACTGATTTCAGCACCTTTGAACTAGAAGTTCCCTCTGCTGAACACAGTCTTCTCTGGGAGATCTTGGTGCCTTGCTTCCTCATTTCTACTCTGCTAGAATATCATCTCATCAGAGAGGACTTCCCTGACCAATGTATCTAAAATAGCATTCTTCTGCCACTATGTTGCTTTTTTTTCCTCATAGCAATGATGACAACTTGATATTTGCTTATTGTCTAACTTCTCCCACTGTTGTATATCCTTTACAAGAACAAGAATTTACTGTCTTGTGATTGCTTATCCCTAGCGCCTAGAAAAATGCAGGCACATAGTAAGCACACAGTAAACGTTAGAATTAGCAAGACAATTGGAACAACAGTCACATAGCATTTTGAGGTGATTCAAAGTGACCACTTAAGGCAGCCAATGTCTTTTTTTATTATTATTTTATTGAGGTCATAATGGTTTATAACATTGTGAAATTTCAGGTGTACATTGTTATTTATCAGTTTCTGTATAGACTGCATCGTGCTCACCACCAATAGTCTAATTTTTATCCGTCACCATATATATGTGCCCCATAAAGTAAGCCTTCTGTACTTCAGAGTATGGAAGACACTTTCAGGAATCCCTCATGTGTTTAGCCATTCATAGACTTACTTGTGCTGTAAGATTTTTGGAAACATATTGTTTGAACATTCTCCTTATAAGAGAATGACAACATCCACCCAGAAAGATTTCTGAGAGAAAGACAGCACCCATCTTGAAAAGACAATGCTCATTACTGATTTCTGAGGACTAAACAGGGTGAAGGCTTGTCCCTGAGTCAAGCTGGCATGGAATATTCTCCTGAAAGCATATATTGGCTTGTTCTTACCTAAGAACCTGAAAGTACAGTCCTGGGCTGGAGCTTTTAGAGACCACATGGACCTTGTTACATGCAACTGAGAGCTCAGAAACCAAACAGGATGGATTCATTATAAAATCTTTTAAAGTAAGCAGATTTAGAGTTTATTAACCCTTATCAGAAAAAATTTGTTTGAAATCTGTTGAGAAGGAAGGCACTATTTTTTAGTACATAGAAATGTTTAGAGATAAGCATGGTATTTAAATCTTTGGGAGGTGTAAAATTGTATTCAACAGCATTTTTAGACAGGCATTAGGAATACTTTCAAGTGTTTGTCTACCGCGTTAATTTTAATTGTACTCCACTAGACTCACAATGCTTTGAAATGCTTTACAAAATGCCCCCAAGATCTTTTATTAATCATAATACAAGCACCACCAAATCAAATGCTGAGGTTTCTAACTCTGGGTAGCAGCAGCTTGCCTGAGAGCGCCCTCTTCTGTTTCAAGAGTATACCGCAAATTGCGTTACATGGAATGCACAGCCATTCTGGGGAGTATAAAATGGGCTCTCCAGGAAAATGTCAACACACACAATCGTACTATTTAAATATGCTATCCTCCCACCTGAGGTTTGTAAGGCTGTTCTGCAGCAAATAGGTGAGGGAAAGGTTGCAATCTCCAAAGTGTAAAGGTGATTTGCATTTCTTCTCCAGGAAGTCTCATAGAAATGAACTTTAATCTTTTAAAACATGAGTCAACTAACTAGTCTAATCCGTTTCCTTTTTCCTTAAAGACAGAACATGAATTTAAAGGCATATTACTTGCCTTAGATAATATTATTTAAAGTATTTTGTATAACTCAACTATTGCTTTCTGACCAGCCATTCTGTCTTGCTTTTAAAATTAATTTACAAATTCATATTTAGATGCCAGTTCTAAGCAGGAACTTATTAACACAATAATAAAAAGAAAAATCTTTTATTTCACATAAACTGGGAAAATATGCAGGTAATTATTGGTTGAGCATGAAATGCACGTTGAGCCCCATGAAATTGCCATCAAGAATGGTTAAATAGGGCTGGCCCCATGGCTTAGCGGTTAAGTGCGCGCGCTCCGCTGCCAGCGGCCCAGGTTCGGATCCCGGGTGCGCACAGACGCACCGCTCCTCCGGCCGTGCTGAGGCCGTGTCCCACATATAGCAACTAGAAGGATGTGCAGCTATGACAGACAGCTATCTACTGGGACTTTGGGGGAAAAATAAATAAATAAAATCTTAAAAAAAAAAAAAAGAATGGTTAAATATTGACCATTTCATATGGTTCAATCAAATACATCCAGCCCTGTACTTTAGGACTGTAGGTAAGAGCATGAAAGGTCCTTGGAGGGGAGGAGCTGCCGAGAATGTGGAAAGGCTGGGAGAGACACCACAAAATCTAGTGGAATCACTGTGTGTGTGCACAAACGGGGCAGGGTAGTCTAGGTGGAGTTGAGACAAAACAGGAAAAAATTGATTGATGGGAATTTGAGTCATTTTGTTACAAATATGATCAGTTTATGCCACTTAACCCTTTTGTTGTTCCCGCAGAACTAGAGCCAAGCCCTGTTAATTTCAGTAGTGGCTATAACAGTGCTTAATGATCTGGCCTCCATGAAGTTTTATTTCCTGATGCAGTTTTGAAATTCAACTTTAATAGCTAGACAAAAATTGAATTTCAACACACGGCAGCTTTCTTATAAACAGGGCAGGTGGAGAGGTTGTTAGGCTGGTTTTTATTAGAGCTGATTTCTCTCTCATATCTTTTATGCCCCCCCCCCACACACACACAGCTTATCTGAAATATATTGTGTACAGTTGTATAAAAATCATTTTCTAAACTTTAAAAAATTGTTTTAAATGCACATCGTTTCTATAATACTAGTTGCCAAAGTTGGAAAACTCCTTAGAATTCGCCTGTGGACAAAGTTTGTCCTGTTGTCAGGAAAAACTGTGAAAGACTTTGAATAGTAGGTGTCCTATCTAGCTCATTTTATCCAGTTATCAGCACCTTTCATTGTCTTTGAGTTATTTTACAACTCTGTAAGTTTTAGAAAACTGATAGTAATGCACATGATCCTTATCCATATAAATGCAAATTAATTGTGTGTGGGTAGGGGAAATTGATTATTGCCCAGTGGATAGATCCATTTTGCATCTATTTGTAAATTCATTTCAGAAGTCCTGATTTCCTATATACATCTCTGCTCTTTGAATTCGCCTTGGAACCAGTTGTAACATCTTACCAGTTCCCTCATTAGTTAATGAGTTAAGTAAAACCTAGGGCACATACAGATATTATTTCTTTATGAGAGTAATGATTATATCTTCTTTTAAAAATCATTCTTTAACATCACAAATTGTAGTTTGATGGTGTTATTTTTCCAGGATGTGCGAACATGCCACGTTCACTGATTCCTTAATAGTGAAGCAGTATACGTTTGCCTGACAGAGTCAATTGTTTAAGGTTATTGAAATTGATTTCGTACCTTAAAAAAAAAAAAAAAAAAGCCCAGACCTTGCAAAAGAAGATACAAGTCCATCACACAGCAAGAATCATTTAAAATACATCTTTAATTTTGGAAAATCAATACGCAACCTACAAAATACTTTGTTACATGATTATTAAGGCTCAATCTGTTTTAGATTTGTATTGATATGACAAAATCATATTTTGAGTAAGATATAAAAATACTTAGTCATTATTAAGGAAGGCCTTCTAACTGAATTTATAAGAAAAAGGGCTGTATCCTAAGCACAGCTCCAGAATGAAGGGAACTAAAACCTTAGAACTGCCTAATATATAAATCAGGTCAAAACTTCCAGCCTTTATTTATGTGCTGGAAAGTTTTCTTTTTTCATACTTTTTTTAATGGATAAACTATTTCTATTCCCACAGAACAAGGAAATGTCCTTAAATTCAGATCTGTACAATTGGTCAGGTGATCATCAAGCCATGAATTCATTTACACAGTTAATATGATCCTTTGACTGGTAAGGCAACCAGAACAATTAGAGCAGAACAACTAGCCCCCAACTGGTCAGCTCCTGGTAAGTCTGCCATGTGTCAATCAAACCACTGACTCCCAACGGGTCAAGCTCATAAAGGTTGATCTAAATTACCTAAATTAAAACACTAGAAAGGAGTAGTTCCTCCTTCACTCACTTCCTTCCTCCCTTCCCAATCTTAAAAGCAGAGGTTTTTATTGTTGTTGTTGTTGTTATTTTGAAGATCATCATTTACTTTCTGGCAAGAAAGATTTTACTTCCTAATTTGTAAGTCTAAGTGGATCCTACCTGATTTTTCACTTAAAGCACCATGGTCACATTTGACCTTCTGCCGTTTCTGAGGTCAGAAGAATTGTGTTAAAAAGCTTCTCCCCTCTACACAGAATGTTAATTTAACGCTAAGTAATGAATATTTAAGGATCCTAATAGATGTGCAAATTAACAATTATGCTGTAGCACCCTGCTGTTAATGCTATGAACCTTTGCACTGCTGCAGAAATTCAATTTGGGCTTTAGTCAGCCTTTCGTTACTATATTTCCAACACTGAATCTTGAGAAGTTCCTGAAGGCTGGATGGCTATTGAGTAAATGACCCAGCAGTGAGGTACCCACAGATACTGGTCAACCTGTGAAGCATGAGGGGCGCTTAATTGAACCCTTTGCTAAAATTATTTTGACGTGTAAATAATCATTAAGTTCATCTGAATCGGACTCTGAGTTCTTTATGGGCAGGATGCCATATAAGAGATTTGAAAGGAATGGCAGTAATTAACCCAGCTGACTTCCCTGGGATCATGGAGCAGCATCAGGTCCAGCCTGCCTCCATATTTGTTCTGAGCAGTTGAAGTCATTCCAGAATGTGCCACACCAGATGATGAGGAAAGATGGTGGAATTTTTCTTTAAATGACGTACACACAGATTTGCCCTCTTATACATCAACAGTGAGTCTAAAGCATATGATATTATGCGCAATGCATCAAGTGAAGTTAAAAAGAGCAATACCAATTCATTTTATCAGTTAACTTTTGCATTCTTTGCCTTTACAGCAAAATAATGAAAAGCAATAAATTCTGCTGATTGATACAGACCATCATAAATGCTTGTTTTAATCTGCTTTTTGAACAGATTAAAAAGTATGTAATACAATATTAAATAAAACATAGGCCATAAACTCTGTGGGCCCACATACAAATGCTGTCTGGAAGAACATTATTATATCAGTTTTGACTCAAAACAAATCTAGTAAGCAGAGAAAAATACCTCCTAATCATATTTAAGATTCAACATACATTGAAGATGTATTAATACCACATGAAAGACTTTGTTTTTCAGACTAAAAAATACCTAGAACATAGATTTCATAAATTTTTCAAGTCTGACCTTTCACTGTAAATACTGGAAGGAAATTATAAACAGAATTATAACTGCTAATGCCATTGGATTTTCATTAGAAACCAAACATTTACCTGACTTTGAAGAATAGAAATGTCAACTCTTAGAAATCTAGGTAAAATAATCTAGTGTCTTTCATTCTGATCATCTTTTAAGGAAAAATACTCTAGATTAAGCAGAAGTAGCATAAATAACATGATAGCAGAACTAGCATAAAACAATCATAATATGATTTAGACTTCTACTCAAGAGAGGTTTGTGTTAATTACAAATAATACTTTATCAAAATACATTCTTAGAGTCTGTACTTTTGGGAAACAATATGCATGAACTTTAAAAATTCATCTTTAATGTGCATAAATATTTCAACTAGTGTCGAAGACTGGGATTCCATTTTGAAAAGAATCTCTCCAAGCAAAAGGTAATATGTCTTAGTGACTTATACTAAAATATGTATATCAACAGAAATAGCTTCATTGCAACACGCACCAGAATACAAATAGATTTTGAAAATGATAATACCATGGGGGAAAGACAGGTACCAAATACAGCTGATGATTACTCACCAATGTGGTAATAGGACAGGAAGATAAATAATTCAAAACCACAGATACTTCCACATCTCCATTTTAGCCTGTGGTTTCAGTATTATCCTACACCTAGCTACATTTCAGAGATAAGCAAAAGGGAAAATGAAGTATTTTGGTTTATGCCTCCTTTGATTGCCTCACCCTCCGGTACAGGTGCTAACACAGCAAGAAGACAGGAGGACTGGAGGATAATAAATATGGCACCTAGGTAATCCAGAGTGCAAAACCTTCGGCCACTGAGTAATCAAAAATTAAAAACCCTTTAGCCAAGCTGGCTGTTGGGTCACACACTGAATAACAGTGCCCTTGAGTTTCACTAGGAAGCAAAAACATCACACAAATTATAGACACATTTTAGATCAAACCTCTAGGGCACAAATATGTCAAAAGTATAAAATATAGATTGTTCAGTTTCAGGTCTTAACTCCTCTAAACACAGCCATTGGCCCTGTCCTAAGTTCTGTATTCAGAAGTCATTTCCACTATGCAGTAGCAGAAGTTGGTGTGGTTTCTGTGAAGCACATATTTGCAAAGTGGGGCGTTATCATTTACTCTTGCTACTCCTACTGAGTTACGCAGTCACCAGCTTTATCTGGGTCTTCTCCATCGATTTTAATCCACTTCTTTTCTATTTCAACCTGTTATACAAAAGCAAAACATGGGCAGCATTAACAAATGCAACACAGGACAAACACCTGTTCAGTCCTGTTTCATACATGAGGCAAGAACTGTAGCCACCTCATCCTTTGGACACAGACACATCCCCTCCACCCTCTCTGGCTAGCTCCATAGTGAGCACTCTGCTCTCCTTTTGGGCAACAGAGCCCCCCAAATCCTTCCCTCTACGGACAAATCTTGAAGAGGACTGAAACTCTCCTCTCTTCTAAGTCAAACATAGTTTTTATAAAATGTATACAGAATACACATATTGATAAGACATTTAGAGATCTGGCTAGACATGAGATCAATTATACTCCCACATCATATATCCAGCCTTTGGACCACTTGAGATTTATAACACACTCCAAATCACCTCTCTCATTAACTAAAACAAACTAGTTTACAAACTGGCAAACCTGCTGGGCAGAACCATCTGCCTGCCCCTCATCTTTTTCATCTTAGCTTGTATGTCACCTCCTCACAGAGGCCCTCCCAGACCACTCTAGATAAGGAAGCCCTCCATCACTCTTTACCCTGTAACCCTATTTTATTCTCTTCTTAGAATTTGTCACTATTTGAAATTATATTATTTATCAGTTTACTAATTATTTTATGTTCCCCCACTAGAAGGTAAGCTTCATGAAGACAGGGACTTGTCTCTTGTTCACTTTTGCATCCCCCACATCTAGAGCAGCACCTGGCACTTTGAAATTGCTCAATAAATGCTTATTAAATGGAAGATAACATTTTGAAACTGACTGCCACCAAGTGCAGATCAATTAGTAAATGCTGTTAAAGCTAAAGAGACTTGGTTATATAATTTTGAGCTGTCCTCTAAAACTATATGAAACTGGTACATCCATGAGTAGGAAAATAGGTACAAATGAAGTCTCCACGTGTACTTGACCCACATTTCAATCACACATAATACTTATTTTATACCTAGTGTTACAGGTCAAGTTCCCCAAGAAGCAGATTCTGAGATGGAGACTGGGGTGCAGCAAGTTTTCTGGGGAGTGCTGTTGAGGTCGACCCCTGTGGGGAGGAAAGGGAGGGGAAGGAAGCAGAGAGGGAGAAGTTGGGCTGCAATGCAGCCACAATAAGGCTTCAGCGGATCCCCAGGGAGAGCTGAAGCTAGGATGGCCCCGCAGGCTTATCCCAAGTTGAGGCAAGAGGGTCTTTATAGCCCTGCATCCACCAGTCATTGGACACAGGCTACCCTGGGAAGGGGGTGTGACCTGGAGCCAGGCAGCCTTCTTCAGCAAGGGCAATTCCCAACTGCGGGGAGAATGAGTTCTTCAGTCCCAAAAGGGCTGCACAGGACAGCACCCACCCATCATTAATTTTATCCATAGAAAAAAAATCACCGGAGACAAACTTATTGGCTTCCAAACAGATGGTCCAACATAAACAAAAACCCTGACTTATATTACTATATTATAGAACCATCAGTTGATATTAATGGTGTCTTATATAACCATACTATTTCAAGACACTGTGGGAAATATGTGGCAGAGGTTATCTCTATATCTACTAACTCTGAAGATGAGAAGAAATAGTAAGTTTAGAAACAGGTGCAAGTGTATGTCACTTTTTAACTCATCTGGCCCAAGAATGCAGAAGAGCTGATGGTGACCATTTAAAATTCCTGTAGTAGAGTAACTCAGCATTTCCCAAAGGGTGCTCCACAGAATACTATTCTAGAAGATATTGATAGATGTTTATATGCACACGGACATGCCCATACAGACAAGACTCCATAATCAATAAGTTGGGAAAACTGGGTTAAGTTTGACAAGTTTCTTTATGGCAGAACTTCTCAGAGCCTTCATTTAACATTAATTTAGTGTACGGCATTCCCCAACTTATTTTTGTCTTGGACACAGAACACATCTTGGGAAATGCTATTCTAACATAATTTTTATTATAAATATGCTTCTGAAATGTGAATTCATTTTTAATGCCCTGTTCTTTATTGAGAGCTGAATTATTAATTACGTGGCACTGTGTGCTCAGGCTTCTGATGTTCTCTAGAACTAAGGGGAAGAACTAGGCTCACTGGTGACCACCAAGTTTCCATGGCTGGGCTCTTTTCTAGGCCAAATACACACACACACACACACACACACACACACACACACACACACACAAGCACATACATGGTCACTTAAGAGGGCAAAGCAAATATTTAAAGCCAAATTAGGTCACAGCTCTGGAAGCCTCAACCTGAATAAAGCGCTTTGGATGTACCTGAATGTTGTAGCAAGCTCGCTGAAGAACATGTTTCTGTGGCTGAACATCACTCTCCACCCCCAGAGACCTGATTTCTGTCCTTGAGGCACAGGTATCAAGCATCCCAAACTGAACGGTAGCAAACGGATACCAATCAGAGGGAATTTCTTGGTCTGATCCAAGTTCTAGTTTGTAAGACAGACAATGGGGATGATCAGGACCTTGAAGGAAAAAGTCAAATGGTCAGTCAAAGCATTTCAATGGCCACAGAACATTTCTCTTGAACCTAAGAGGCACACATCCCTCTCTTTAATAAGCAACTCCGTTAGCATTGTGGTGGTGTGAATTCCATTTAAACAACAAACCATCAAAATTCATGATTTTGCACTAACTAGGGGGAAATCTGTGTTTTTTAAGTACTAGCTTTAAAATAAGTACAACTTTATTACTATATACATGCATATATTAACTCCTAAAAATGTTTTCAATTAGAAGTATGCTAATTTCTTTCACTAAAAGATGAGTAATATTTATATTAAGCATCATTATTTGGCTACAATGTGTGTAGGATCTGTAAAAAAAGCCCTCTTTCTCCTAAGTAGACTGAATAAGCTCTTACAATTCTTAATTTATACATGTTCTTAGCACTCTGTTTATTGATAGATAATGCAAAGGTAAACTTTAGCCCAAATTAGGTAACATTATAAAAAATTCTGATTTTTGAAGTTGAATTTAACGAAATTTTATTACATTTCAGAAACTACTCTAGACCAAGAATTCTTTTTTCAGTAGAACAGATTATTTTTTACTATGGTAATTCTCATTCATTCTCCTTAAAGCTTTGACCGGAACAGATGTACAGTGTAGAGAGGGGCATACTGGCTTTCAGTGTTTCAACCTAATATTTGTTTTCACTTAGTTCAATTTGCCATGTACTGAGCATCTACTCTATGCCAGGCCAGGTTCTGTGCCAGACCCACGGATATTGGATACATGCAAAGATTTCAAGTGGGGTCATGTAACGTGTGTGTGTGTGTGTGTGTGTGTGTGTGTCTGCGTGTCTGTGTTATAATGGAGTAAAAAATAATTTCAATATAATCACTGTAGTAACTCTACAAATGTTCCATAATTCTGTTGCATTGTTCACAGCATCTACATATCCAATGCAGCTATCTTTACTTAAATAAATGTATGACATGACAGTAATTTCAAAAGCCAGATTAAATTACTTCACCACTGACATAGCTCGAGAAAGAACATTTCCATTAGAATATAGCTTTAGGCACAAAAACAAGGGTTTAAAGGATTTCACTTAATTCTTAAAAGATAAATTGCCTTTCATTCCTTACAACCTGTTTCTTGTAGAGACTAATAGAATTCTAGGCTGTAAAAGACCTTGAGAAGTCATCAATCAATTAACCAACAGATGCTCATTAGCCGTCTCCACCACGTACATGTGGGTAGGATGATGGTGGCCTCTGAGGTGCTCTATACCACCCAGATCACTGCAGGCGAGTGATAATTTTATTCACACACACACACCCAGCGGAGATTCCACAATCCATCATCCTTTCTAGTCCTCTGTCTGCAGCAAGGATACAGTAAGTTTATTTAAACTTAATTCAGGCACTCAAGTCCTTTATGGCACAGTCGTTAAGAACACCAACACTGGGGCCATATTGCCCAGGGACAGCCCTGCTTGCTACTTAATAGCTGTGTAATCCTAGGCAAGTTACTTGATCTCTCTGAGCCTCAGTTTCCCCATCTGAAAATGGGAGTGATAATGATGCTAATAATAACATGAACCTTATAGGATTGTTGTAAGAATTAAACCAGTCAGGGGCCGGCCCGGTGGCTTATCGGTTAAGTGCGCGCACTCCGCCACTGGCGGCCCGGGTTTCGGATCCGGGGTGCGCACCGACGCACCGCTTCTCTGGCCATGCTGAGGCCGCGTCCCACATACAGCAACTAGAAGGATGTGCAACTATGATGTACAACTATCTACTGGGGCTTTGGGGGGGAAAAAAAGGAGGAGGATTGGCAATAGATGTTAGCTCAGAGCCAGTCTTCCTCAGCAAAAAGAGGAGGATTAGCACAGATGTTAGCTCAGGGCTGATCTCCCTCACCAAAAAAAAAAATATATGTATATATAAATAAACCAGTCAACACACACAGAGCACCAGAGCCGTGGTATACTACAGATATAGCAGTGTTGGACATGTATGATTACTTTGCAAAGTGTTATTCGATTATAAATCCAATATTATTATTTAATTACTATAATTTTGCTAATGAATTCTACACTTAGAGCTGAAAATGATATTGGAGATGATCTAATTTGATATTCACATTTTAAAGGAAAAAATTCTTTTGGAACTTTTCCAATCACAATTACCCAAGTTGAAGACCTAGAACTCAAAAAATGTTAGGAACAAAACCTTTCTACCTGCTTTTCCAAAAAAAATTGGTAAAAGATAAAGGAGAGCATTTTTAAAGTTTTCTGGCATATTTTTCCTGGCTTTTAAAACCTCTAAACGGTCTACAATGTTTAATAACACACTCCCCCTTTAGACTTGATCTCCTTGAGGAGAGGTATCATGTCTGTCCCTAGCACAATGTCTGACAAGTTTGGGGCTCAAACAGTATTTGTCAAATTTGTGCGTAAAAGAAGAAAAAGATAGAGGAAAATCATGTTATTTATCTCAGTACTGACCAGTAGGGGGCACTCTCGGGCTTTGGTAATTGCTATTTTCACAACATAACTTTCTGGGAATGCAAATCACAAAATCTTAGGTCTAGTTGATATCCTGTCCCTCCTGAACCAAAATATTTCACATCCAAAACTAAATTGCTGAGAGTTGGAGGGATTGAATGGTGGGAGGATGACACAAGTAGAGGAGGAGAGAGCACCAATGTGCCGATGACAGAGAGCAGAGAAAAAGTAAAGGCAAGTTACATTTAAAATTTTGTAAAATTGGGAAGGTAGAGACAGATAAACTTGTTAATTGACCCTTCACCACTCCCACTCCCCTTTCTAATTCTATGCCACCATCTGTACCTCCTTTGGCTAACCAATGTTCTCATTCATCCTCCTCTTCTCCTTCGTCTCCTTCTTCCTCTTCTTCCTTTCTCTCTCTCTCTCTCTCTCTCCCCCCTACCCCCCACCCACCCCCAACAAAGCCTGTGCTCGGAAAAGGCTCCCCTGTTCCTCTGCAGTCATTCACACCTTAGTCTGAATGAACTATCTGAGCTACCTGCCCAAGGCCAACCTTTGTTGTAAAATGAAAGACCTGCCCACTGTTAAAGGAATATTAAGCATTGACATTGACATGCTAGTAGAAGAGACATTTAAGGGGCCAGCGGCCCTTCCCCCCCTCCCTTGAAATCACATGTAAGTGAAAAGGAAAGGTCAATCCTGATCTCAAATATCCACAGTAGGAAAAGCATAAAAAAATTTTTAATTAGTACATAGTAGACTACTTCATATATTCTCATTCAGTTTCCATTAAAATATTTTTTCTAACAGTATTTTTATAAACTAGCTTGAAATGGGTAATGTTTTAAAGACTTTAAAAGAAGTCCTCTGTTCTCTGAACATCCAGTTGATTTACAGACAAACAGAGATGCACTCTAAGCCCTGCTACTCTACGAGTGGTCCTGGCACCAGCACTGGCATCACTTGAGCACGTGGGGGAAACACTGTATGGGGGCCCCAGCTGCTGAATCAGAACCTACATTTTAACAAGGTGATTCACATGCACAGGAAAGTTTGGGAAGCACTGCCTTAGGACAAAGATTTCCTCTCTGCCCCAACCCTGCTCTTTCTATGCTTCTCCTCCAGGGGCAAATTACCAGGCAGCATCCCATTCTTTGCACTGCCCTCCCCCACCCCACAATGATGAAGCCACATGACAGGGCTACGTGATCCCAGAAGTGTCCTGCCCCCCCAGACTCTACATGACACAGCCTCACTGCCTTTTCTCTGGGCCTGCTCTTTGTGCACAGACCTGATCTGAACAAAGCAGCTTTGATCCCAAAGGATTTGTTCAGTGAATTATCACCATATAATTCACTGGAATGCTTGTAAAATGTGGTTCTGTGTGGGCCCGGTGCTATGACAGTCTTCCAAAAGAATTCCCGAAGGCCAAGAGCAAGTCCAGCCAGCCTCTCCGGGAACACCCACTCTTGTAATTGTTCTTACTGAGCTCAAATGCTAGTAAATATGGGTGGGAGGGCAATAACAGAGCCCCAGGAGACAGAGGATACACAGAGCAGTGTATCCTGGGGAACCATAACAGGTTTCACAGGAGAGGTACCAGCTCAGTACTTCCCAACTCTGGCTGCATGGGAGAGCCTTTCACAAGCCCCAAGACCTGGGCCTCCCCCAGAGAGTCTGATTGGTAGGGATGGGGTCTAAATATGGGTACGTTTTTAAAGCTCTAATGATTCTAAGCACTCTAACATGCAGCCGGGGCTGGGAAACAGACTTGGATTTTAAAAGGAGAAGTGATGAAGAAGATCCCAGGCTATCTCAGCTAACAGCACCGCTGCCCATCTATTCGCCAAAGCCAGAGACCCTAACCTTCTCCCACCCCGTCCCCACTCCCCCCATGCCCACAGATAATCTGTCATTGTTTGGGGGGCACCTCCTCTGAATTCCCTCACCCATCCCTCACCTCCTTCTCAGTGCTCCCACTGCCACTGGGCTTGCTCAGCATCTCTCCCCTCCTACCAGCCTCCCTGTATCCATAATCTACTCGTGAATCTCTCCCCCACACTGCATGCCTGACTTCCTAAAACAAGGTATGATTCTGTCACAGTCATGCCCGAAAACACTCCGGAGGCCCTGCGGACAGACAGACTCCACACCCCACAGCGTTGTTCATAACATCCTTCATATTCTGGTTTCCTCTCCCACCACTCCCTCGTTCCTGAAACTTAGATAAGATCTCCCACCTACACGTCTGTGTTTCTGCTATTTCTATCCTTGATGGAATCCTACCGATTCTTGCACGAAGCTTAACCATCACCTCTTCAGCAGAGCCTTCCTTCCCTAGCGCCCCCTGCAGTTTATCACTCCTTCCCCTGGGATCCCTATTATGTACGTTTCCACATGCCTGGAATAGAGCACATTTCCCCAGTGCATTCGGATAGTTGCTTCTGGGTCTGTCTCGCCTACTAGACTTACGTTTCTGGGGAGCAGGGATCATGTTTGTATCTGTATCTCTCAAGCACCCAGCACAGCGCCTGTACCTAGAGGAAATTTGGTGGGTGTTTGTGGAATGAACGAGTGAATGAGCGAGCCCTCTTCTCAATAAATTCTTGATGACTGAATCAATTAACTATAGCATTAACTCTGAGAAAATGCAGTTATAAACAAGAGCATCTTCACAAGAAGCTTTATATGTTGTTCCCATTCCAAAATTAGAAAAGAATGATGGTGATGCGTTCTCAGTTTGAAAAATAAGGGCGGTTGCCCTGGCCAGGTCTAGCCAGAGGGCCTGCTCTGAGGCAGAACAGCTGGAATGCGCGCTGTGCGAGCCTGTCCCCCTGCCCCTCTGACCCCACCCGGACAAGCCAGCAGGTTGTGCTCCTCTCTCAGAGGCATAATCATTACTGCAAATCTATGTGAAACCTACATTTGACCTTTTGTTCTGGTCCCAGTGACCATCTCTAGGACCAAAGGAAAACAACAGGAGTCAGGTTATCACCCAGCCCTCAGGGGACATCTGCAGATCCAGGAGGGTACAGTAGGCATTCCAGTCTGCCTTCCTCTCCTTCCCTTTGAGGCAATAGTATTCTCATTTTGATAACCCCTCTCACCTAAGAGTAGCACAAATAACTTTGAGAATAGATCATTTGGAACCTTGTACTCGAAACCTCAAAACTTGTTTCCCTGGGATGAAGATAATCTGCAAATGGTTTTAATGTGCTTTTCCAGCAAAATTATTTTAAAAAGGCAGGAAACATTACCTCTGTGGAGGTATCATGGAAGACATTCCCATCATGCTGGAGTTGACCAGGAGGCGCCATTAGAGGCCATCTGTGTGACCATGCTATCCCATCACCGCCTCGCCCTGCCTGGAGCCTGAGCTGTCCTTGGACTAGTCCTTGGAACTAGAACCGAAACTAACGTGAGTCATGAGAGCGCTGCGGAGCAGAATTTGGCATTAATGGAGAAGAGTGGGGCATATCAGGGAGGACTACTGTGAGAGGCTTCCCTTCTGCACAGGGGCCTGGGGCTCCCCAGCCGCCCAGCTGCGTCTCTTGCCTGCTGGACCCTGTCCGTAGCCCAATCAGTCGGCAGATGTTAAGCTGGCAAACTGCAAGTCATAGACAAGGTGGTCCTGCATCTTCCAGGGCACGGTCCCTGCCGCCCCTCAAGTCTATTGTGCCCTTCCTGCCCCAGGACACTGCAAGGCCTGCAGGGCAGTGTCCCTCAACCCTGGCCACACATTAGGTTCACCTGGGGATCTCTCAAAACATATGGGTGCCTGGGCCCCCCCCCCAGAGATTCTGATTTAATTGGTGTGGAGTGGAGCCTGAACATCAACATTATTTAAAAGCTCTCAGGCTGTTCTAACATACAGCCAGGTTTGAGAAACACTGCTATAGGGCCACCTCGAACAAAAATGCTTCCTCTGAAGTCCACAGCCTGGAGGGCCCTAAGATGAAATTAGACTTCCCTGAAGGACTAGACCAGCTGTGAGCTATCTAGAAGTGGGGATCAGATCTTATTCATCTTTAGCCCCAGCACCTGATGTGGCGGTTGGTATACAGTAAGTGCTCAATAAAGGTTTGGCTGAATGAATGAATGCACCAACTCAGATGCCCCAGTCTGCCCCCAATTTAGCTCCATAACCCAGTGTTCTACTAGAAATAACTGAAAACAGGGAACAGCCCTAATTTCAAAATTCGTTGTTTTGCTCTATTATATTACACCCACAACTAACTTACTATTCTAAAATAAATGTGGTGCTAGGACTGTCTTTTCAAAGTTCTGAACTTCTAGATTAATTGTTTTCCTTGCAAAATTTTTAAAAATTAGCTGAACTTTTAATGCTTAGGTTGTGTCTACCTAATTCCGAAACAACTCGTCCAGCTGGTCCAATTGGTTGATTCAGCTAAAAAAATCAATTTGGGTAAAAATGAAAGGTAATCTTATTTCAAAAAGCAGGAAGCAAAACCTACGGAGTAAGTAGTACTGGCTGAGAGTAGGAAAAAGTTCAAATATACTCATGGATGATAGATCTTTAAAAATTAATTAAGGAATCTAAGGTATGTGAGCAATATTTTTAATATTTGAGATTGATGGTTGATGTCAAGAAGTCTAACTAGAAATTTTCCCTCAGTGCCACCATCCACAACAAAATCCCAACCTAGGATGGTATTTCTCATGACATTAAAAAAATTTTTTAAGTTAAACTTATCTGGTAGAAATAGGCACAAGAGGACAAAATAAACCAGCTGTTTGACTAAATGTTCCATCTCCCACCCAGCGATGTAAGCGTGGCCACAGCTGACTGAAGTTACCATCTGTCTCAGCCTGGTTTCAACCCAAGGAGAAGGGTGAAAACATTCAAGCTACTTCACATGAAAATCAACTTGGGGTGTTGAATATTTACTTGAATTTTTATCAGGAAGCCGGTCTATCTTCCATACCACGGCCCGGTAGGCACTCTCATATTTTGCTGACCCCACAGTGACCTGTATGACAGGTTCAGATTCAAGTTCATATAAACTCCCCAGACATGCCCGGCGGTTCATTTTGGCTTTCAGGGACTTCTGCCTCTGGAGGTTCATGGTCCAGAGGGCCTTGATCCATTGTGATGGGACAGGAAAGTGTATCATTATATTGTCACAGGACCTCAAGGAACTGGCGTGGGATGGTCTCTGAGCCAATGGGGCCATGTTGACAAAGGCTTGAAGCTCCACATATGCCCCCTGGACAACCACTACAGACTTCAGGGAAAAAGGAAGATCTTCCCCATTATACAAAGTCTTGAAACGCATCAGCTCAAACCGGCAGGCGTCCAGAGGTGCAAACTTAATGATTCTTGATTGCTCAAATTCTTGTGCTTTCACACACTTATGAAAATGATAGTCAAGAATATCAATCCCCTTCTTTTCTGGGTCTTTTTCAAAATAGCGTTCATTTCGCTTCTGCAGTTCAAGGTCATTCAAGGTTAAAAAGCATTCCGTGTTCCCATTCACAAAGCAGAGGCAACAGATTTGAGTTATCACAGCACTTTCAACCAATTTTCCTTCTTCTTTAGTGATTTTACCCCAAAAGTTGTCCATAATTTCCAGGGAAATTTCTTGTTCCTCATAGTTCTTTTTTGGTTTTGAAACAGCTGGCAGCTTCATCAGCTCCTCCTCCACAGTAGTCAGAAAGTCAAGGAAGTCGTGGTACTCTGTAGACCCCAACTTCAGCATCTGTTCTATGTCTGGCTCGTGAACTACTTCTGTCTTAGAATGGTATTTCCTTTTTTCTGTGTAAGACACATGTTCAATCTTCACAGTATGGATTTTTCCTGCCACACTAAAGTTCTCAACTTTGGGTTCAGAAAGCCTGCAATGTGGATCGAGCTGTAACTCTTTAAATGGTTTTTCTAACCCCTTCTCATAATACATTTGTAGAATTCCTCCAGGTAAGACCTTTAGAAAAATTGGTCCCCACTGACGGGAAGACATCATGTTCTTCTTCTCAGGAATTCTCAGCATGAAAGACCATCCGGTTTTTGGCTGACTCCTGAAGAGCGTGTGGGGAACAAAGGAAGAGGCAGTGTCTTCAGTATACAGATATTGCATAGACAAATTCCCAAATGAGTCTTGGTTCTCAGTTGATTGGAGATGTTCAAGCTTCTCACAGATGTAGTTGAGTGAACACTGATTTAAACTTTTTTGATCAATAGGCATCTCTTTGTCTCTTAATTGGAACATCTTTCTGCTTCCTGGAGGGTCCAAGGTGAACTGGGAAGCACTGCCTTCATCTTTCCAAAATGGACTTGAAAAAGCACAGTCCTCCCGAAAATACTGAAACTGGGGAGCATCACTCTGGAACCCTAGGCTTTCAGCCTGGTGAGGGCTATTTTCATCTGGAAGACCCACTTTGGGAGCTGGATGCGTACATGTGTGGTCATCAGGTAAGGAAGCATGGGACAAACAGGTTGGTTTAGTAGGCAATAAGGAAGAACCTGCTCCTGGTGTTGTGAGTGGACTGTTTGAAGATGATTCTGGAATAGGATAAAGCACATGAGTCCCTCCTTTGGGGATACCAGGAATACCTGGGAAGTCTTTGGTAGGTGTAGAAAGAGGAGAGTTACTTGGAGGTCCTGGACTGAAGTAAAAGTCTATGATGGGAGAGGAGAGAGGGGTACTGCTGGTGGAGGAAGCTCCACTGGGAAATTCCTTAGGACCAGAAAGGTTCAGCTTAAGTCCGTTTGGCCTACAGATGCCTTGATTCTCCAGAGGGAAATTCTTTGACTTTTGAGAAGATTGAAAAGCAGGGTCATCATCAAATGTGACCCAGTTGCCTGGGTTCGTGGAGCACATCTTTGGGATCAGATTATGGTCTTGTCAGTGAATCAGATACGTTTTCTCTGTTAAAGGAGAAAGAGAAAATAAGAACATAAAATGAGGGGAAAATTTTAAGTTACTAGAGGTCTTTAGTTCTGAGAAATACTTGGATTTAAAAGCATCCAGATTCACAGATTAACTGAGCTCAAAGAAATGCTTAAAAACTCTAACACGTTTGATGGCTGAATGGATTAAAAAAACAAGATCTAACCATATGCTCTTTACAAGAGACTCATTTTAGATTTAAGGACACACATAGGCTAAAAGGGAAAAGATAAAAAAAGACATTCTATGCAAATAGAAACCAAAAGAGAGCAGGGGCGGCCACATTAATATCAGACAAAACAGACTTTAAGTCAAAAACTGTCACAAGAGACAAAGAAGGCATTATATAATGATAAAAGGGTCAACTTACTAGGAAGATATAACAATTACAAGTATATATAAACCCACCATCAGAGCACCCAAGTATATGAAGCAAACTAAAAAATGCCGGGAGTGGGGCCGGCTCAGTGGCATAGTGGTTAAGTTCGCACACTCTGCTTCGGTGGCCCAGGGTTCACAGGTTCAGATCCCAGATGTGAACCTACAAACCACTCATTAAGCCATGCTGTGGCAGTGTCCCACATACAAAATA